TTGGGCCTTTCTATGGGCTTCCCACGAAGGTGCACAGCCTTCTGCAACAACAGCGTGGCATTAAAGAGCTCTACGGTAATGTGTGCTGTTTTTTACACTCGGATATTTACGCGAAACTGTCTCTCGGTTTTTTTTCATGCCAACATATCTTTTTTTTTCTCTCGTGGGAGAAATGGTAATTGAATAGTATTTGGCGGACTTACTCTTTGGTTCTTTCGGTAAAGTCACGTAGAAAGAGAAAATAATGAATTAAATACTAGCAAACGACATTTCGATTGCAACACAAGCAATCGTCATCAGGTACAAATGAAAGAGAAAACAAAGCCTAGTAAACTTAGAAATATAATGCAATACAACACAGATAGTCGGCTAACATAACGGTCAACACCCTACCTGGATTGATTACGCTCTTCCAAAGATTACTAAATTTAAGAGAGAGATTAAACAGAACAGGAGACACACAGACAGACACATAAGCAGAGAGAGACAACACAGAGACACACAGAGAGAGACAAACAACATAGGCACACAGACACAGAGACACACAATATAGACACACAGACAGACAAATAAGCAGAGAGAGACAACACAGAGACACAGAGAGACACAACATAGGTGTGGGGGTCGCTAGCCCCCGAGATCCCTCCCTCGATAATGTTAACGGCCGGGCTAGCATCATCAATCGCCCCCCCGCTGCTAAGCGAACCGCTGCTAAGTTCCTCACCCATGGGGTGGGAGCCGTCGCCCGAGGATTCCACTCCACCGCGGGTCCGCGTAGCAGGCATGGTTAATTACGTACGCGCACACCCACACACACAGCTCCGTACGGCACTCACTCTTGCGCTTCTCTGCGCCGCGCTGGCCGCTCACGTTACAATCGCGCACCTGGGGTACGCCGATTTCGCACGACGAGAGCTTACGCCTACACCGTACTACACGCGTTCACACTTATAACACGTAACGAGCACACGCAAGCGGGGCACACGCCGACACAACGACTAAAGTCGCCGCCGCCGTGCGCGCGAGATAAACCGTACAACAATGCGCAGCCGATTACGCTATGATCGCGCACCTGGGGGACGCCGATTACGCACGCTGCGAGCTTACGCACACACAGTACCACACGCGTTCCCACACGCTCACACTGCACGACAAGATCACGCGAGACCACGCTTCGCTATTAATGATTTATTACCTGATAACTAATGTTGAATTAGTGAGTCGACGAGGCTGGCCTATTCCACTAAACCGGCACCTATTCCCTATTTATCGGCTATGATTCTAATTCCCCTTCTTACTCACTGTTAAGTGTCCACGGCGGTCCGCTGATCCTTGTGTTAACCGCGTGCCTCGGTGCGTCGCACGGACGTCCGGGTCGCTGGCTCGAGCTGCGTCTGGTCGCCTGGCGCTGGAGTAAGAGAGCGATTTCCCCTCTGCGCTCCTCTATTTATCCTCCCTACCTCCCAAAGGGGATGCTGCGCTGAACAATGGGCTCGTGCACCCCAAGCCCGCGCACGGCAGTCCCCAGGCGCTGTTGATATGCTAATCAGTGTGCTGCGTGCAAGGCGTAAATCCTAATTACTCCCTTACCCTTCCTACCAATGGGGCTTGCGCGCTCAAGCGCAATTATCCCAACCCTCCATGACTATGCGCAACAGCCCCTGTGACCCCGCTATTCATGCTGTCCCGTGCCTCCCCTGCTCGCCCCGTCGACCCGTGGGAGTGTGTGTGGGGGGAAATGCGCCTCAACCGCGGTGGCCGAATGCCCCACGCCACGACCTACCATATTAAGGCCGGCCGCAGCGCCGCGGTGCCACGTAGCACGGGGAGGTCATCCAATTCCCTGATCGCCGGAAACCGTGAGAATTAATCCCGATAAGGGTCTCTCGGATAAAAACCGGTCGATCAGGTGACCTTCCCTTCCAGCTCTATGGGGGGGGGGGGAATGCGTGCGGGTGTGTGCTTATGTGGGGCGGGTGATGGGGGGCAGTGCGGTGGGGGAAGCCGGGCGGCTCCCTGGTTCGGCAGAGCGGCCCCGTCGTTGTGGCACCACATAGGCACACAGAGAAACGACGCCTCTGTGTCGAGGCCTTAGATAGAGAGAGGGGGTAGAGAGAGAGGGGGTGGGGGGTACAGAGAGAGGGGGGCAAAGAGTGAGGGGGGCAGAGAGGGAGGGGGGGGTTGATAAATTAATTTTTAGTACATGGTGGAATTTTGCTAAATGTATTTTACCAATTTGTTTTTGTTATAACAGCATATCACTGCTTATTTGATTCGTACTGTAAACGTTTACACATCACCAGTGTCGTGATGTTAGCTGTCAAGCCTAATCCAATTTCTCACACATTAGGTGATGGTTGAAACATTTTTGTCGTCCTGCACGCAAGTTAATCATTTTAATCGGCGTTTTTGTTCTCTTAACGTGTAATAAGCCACCCGTTTGAAAAAAAATTAACCCGTAAAAACAAAGTTTTCACTATAAATCCTTTATATGCATGGCGGCTAGAGTCCTCTCGTCCTCTGGCTTGAGATGGCTGCCACCTATCGGTCAGATGATTGCCTGCCACCATTAAGCAATTGGTAATTAAATATAATTTATTTTTTCCTAAAAAGTGTAAAAGTTAGGAAAAAAAATTTAACGAGAATAAATTGTCACGCACAACGAGTCTGTGTGCAAAATGTCAGCTCGATTGGATCACGGGAAGTGGGTTAAAAAACGACCGAAAGATTTGCACGGTCGTAAGCGCGCAAGCAAGCACGCAAGCACGCAAGCGAACTTAATATAAAGGATTTAATTACAATTGACACATTCACGTGTTTCAGATTCTGCCGTGCATTTAATCATTCTCTTTTTATATTTGTGTCGACACATGACGCCGCAAAGCCTGGCAGCACGACTGCTTGTCCCTGGACTCCGTGAGACGAGGGAAGAATCTGATTTACTCTTTACCGACAAGTGGCGGCAAGACGCTCGTGGCAGAGATCCTCATGCTGAGGCAGCTGCTCTGCAAGAGAACGGACGCTCTGCTCATTCTTCCCTACGTTGCCATCGTCCAGGAGAAGGTAACGATCGCTTTTGTACACGCACATTTCCACACCGACACAGCAGCATAATGCGGTTATACGAATGACTCTTTGGTTCTTTCGGTAAAGTGACGTATAAAGAGAAAATGATCAATTAAATACTAGCATACGACGTTTCAATTGCAACGCAAGCAATCGTCATCAGGTATAAATGAAATAGAAACACAAATCTAGTATACTTAGAAATGTAATGTAATACAACAGAGAGTCGGATAACATAACAGTCAACACCCTACCTGGTTGATTACGTTCTTCCTGAGAATACTAAATTTGAGAGAGAGATTAAACAGAACCAGAGACATATAGACAGACATATAAGCAGACAGATATCACAGAGATACATAGAGAGAGAGAGACGTACAAAGGCACACAGAGAAACCACGTCTCTGTGTCGAGGCCTATGTTTTGTCTCTATGTAAAGTCCTCCAAGATAAGTCAACTGAGGCAGCCGGGAATTTGGAAGTCTCGTTGAAATATTTCCGTCTTGGCTTAGGAACAGATACTCGGATGCAGAGTACAATCTCGGGTTCATCAATTATTCCCACACGACACACAATTGTGATGTGTCGCCGCTGCTACTGCTGCTGCTGCTACTGTCGGGGTCGCTAGCCCCCGAGATCCCTCCCTCGATGATGCTTACGGCCGGGCTAACCTCATCAATCGCCCCCCCGCTGCTGAGCGAACCGCTGCTAGGTTCCTCACCCATGGTGTGGGAGCCGTCGCCCGAGGATTCCCCTCCCCCGCGGGTCCGCGTAGTAGGCATGGTTGGATACCGCGTAGTATTATGTCCCCCTTTACGCTACCACGATACCTCCCTTTCCTAATCGCGTACCTGCGACCCACACGGAGCGAACGTACGCACACACACACACCGCTCCGTGCACTCCAACTCCACACTGACTACTCGCGTTATGATCGTGCACCTGTATCACACACGGAGTGAACACACGCGACACCTACTCTCGCACCGCTCTGCGCAGCGCTCCCCCGAGGCGAGCCGCAGCACTACAGAACCACTGCGTACACACGCTCACCCACGCGCTCACACTGCACGACAAGATCACGCGAGACCACGCTTCGCTATTAATGATTTATTATCCGCTACCTGGAACTAGATGTTAAATCAGTGAGTCGACGAGGCTGGCCTACGCTGATACCTCTATACCTATTCCCCATTTATCTGCTATGATTCTAATTCACCTTCTTACTCACTGTTAAGTGTCCACGGCGGTCCGCTGATCCTTGTGCTAACCGCGTGCCTCGGTGCGTCGCACGGACGTCCGGGTCGCTGGCTCGAGCTGCGTCTGGTCGCCTGGCGCTGGAGTAAGAGAGCGATTTCCCCTCTGCGCCCCTCTATTTATCCTCCCTACCTCAAAGGGGATGCTGCGCTGAACAATGGGCTCGCGCACCTCGAGCCCGCGCACGGCGGTTCCGGGCGCTTTTGATCTGCTAATCAGTGAGCGGCGTTGGCGGCGTACATCCTAATTAATCCCTTACCCTTCCTAACAATGGGGCCTGCGCGCTCAAGCGTAATTATCCCAACCCTCCATGACTATGCGCAACAGCTCCTGCGGTCCCGCTATTCATGCTGTCCCGTCCCTCCCCTGCTTGCCCCGTCGACCCGTGGGGGTGTGTGTGGGGGGAAATGCGCCTCAACCGCGGTGGCCGAATGCCCCATGCCGCGACCATACCATATTAAGGCTGGTCGCAGCGCCGCGGCGCAACGTAGCACGGGGGAGGTCGTCCAATTCCCTGATCGCCGGAAACCGTGAGAGTTAACCCCGATAAGGGTTTTTCGGATAAAAACCGGTCGGCCAGGTGACCTCCCCTCGGAGCTCTATGGGGGGGGGGGGGGGGAAATGCGTGCGGGTGTGCTCGTGTGAGGTGAGGTGAGGGGGACGCGGGGTTGGCTCCGTTGCTTGGTGGTGGCGAGGTCGGGGATTTGGGCGCCTGCCGAACGGCTTCATGGCGGCGGCATCACACTACTACTGCTGCTACTACTGCTGCTGCTGCTGCTCGAACAGGTGCGGAGCCTGTCTGTGTTTGGTGTGGAGCTTGAAATCTTCATAGAGGAATACGCGGGAAGCAAGGGGCGCATGCCACCGCGAAAACACCGAAAGAAGAATTCTCTCTACATCGCCACCATTGAGAAAGCCCACAGCCTGGTCAACGCCCTTCTAGAGGAGGGGCGCATGAAGGAGATTGGCCTGATCGTTGTGGATGAGGTATGCGGCATTCATTATTTAATTACAGAGAATAATTGGCATCCTGCAAATGTCATTACAAATGTTACGTATTAATGTTCATCATCGTCATAATCAGCCGTCGTGAATTTACTTCTGGATGAGGGCATCCCCAAGCCTCCGCCATCTTGCACAGGCCCACAATGCAACAGTCCACCCAGCAGCAGCAGCACACGAGCTGTGACGTCAGTGCAATGTAGTGTTGAGTCTCATTTGCAGCGACGTACTAATGGTTTGATAATAGTTTTTTTACCCTTCTATCTGGCAACAAAACTGACACATTTTTTACGAGGCGTCATGTTTGCATAGACCACAATACCTGCAGTCATAATACAAACAAAAAACATAACTCTGATAATGATATGCACTGTCCTTGAAGTTGATTGGTCCACACCCAAGACAGCTTTCCTTAGAGCCTTTTGGCGTCATCTGGTCCAACCCATGTGAGACTAGGCTCTAAGGAAAGCTGTCTCGGGTGTGGACCAATCAACTTCAAGGACCATGTGAGACTAGGCTCTAAGGAAAGCTGTCTCGGGTGTGGGCCAATCAACTTCAAGGACAGTGCATACATTATCAGAGTTGTGTTTTTTGTTTGCATTCCGACCGCAGGTATTGTGGTCTATGCAAACATGGCTCCTCGTAAAAAAAGTGTCAGTTTTGTTGCCAGATAGAAGGGTAAAAAACCAATTATCATGTTTTACTGGCAAATGAGGTCCCAATGGTGTACTATATGGTTTGTTGCGTGGTCTGTAGCTGCACATGTTGGGCGAAGGTGGCAGCCGTGGGGCCACCCTGGAGCAGACGCTGGCCAAGGTTCAGTATGCGTCAAGTACGTTTGTTCTCACCCTGCAGTTATCATACATTACTGCGGGTTTCCAGTCGTCGTTGTGGTGATTCAGTTCCATCTGTGATTCAGTGTGGTGTTGCATTCGCTTGATTCTATTGCAGAAACAACTCAGGTCATCGGTATGAGTGCCACTCTGAGCAACATCAAGGACTTGCAAAAATTCCTGAATGCGGAGTTGTACACTAACGATTTTCGACCGGTAGGAATCACATTCATCTTCTTGGTTCTTTCGGTAAAGTCACGTAGAAGGGAAGTAATAAAATAATAAAAATAAAACAATAAAATAATTCTCACGACGTTTCGGCCACAACGCAAGCAGCCGTTTTTTTTTTTGTCAAGACGCTCTTCACCCCTCCATCCCAGCTTAAATAGTCGCCCCAAGCCTGGGGTGTGTCATTCAGACTCTGTCTTTTCGACAGACCTGTTCTACACCTGAGGACGGCCGCTTGCGTTGTGGCCGAAACGTCGTGAGAATTATTTAAAATGTTTTATTTTTATTATTTTATTATTTCCATCCTACGTGACTTTACCGAAAGAACCAAGAAGATGAATCCCTGCAGTCACGAAAGCTTTACATCGAAAAGAATCACATTCTTATTATTATTATTATTGAAAGTTTAATTTTCATAAAAATGTTGCGCAACTGATGTGTGAAAGATACACGTCTTCAACCTCTTACAAAAGTCTACATGGCTGCCGTGATCCTCACAGGTCCAGTTAAGAGAGTACATTAAGCTTGGAGACTCTATCTACGAGGTAAACAACAAGGCTCGGTGTCCAGAAGAAAGCTTCAGTTTTATCCGACTGCTCAGTCACAAGGTGAGTGCACAGACATCAATGGAAATAAAATAGGCACACAAGCTTTTGAACAGCTTTCAAGTTTAAATAACCTGTGAAATATATATCTGGACAGATGGATAGAGGAAGCAGACATTGCTTCTTCTTCTTGGTTCTTTCGGTAAAGTCAAGTCGAAGGGAAGTAATAAAATAGTAAAAATAAAACATTATACAATAATTCTCACGACGTTTCGGCCACAACGCAAGCAGCCGTCCTCAGGTGAAGACCAGGTCTGTCGGGGAGACAGCGTCTGACCTGGTTTTCACCTGAGGACGGCTGCTTGCGTTGTGGCCGAAACGTCGTGAGAATTATTTTATTATGTTTTATTTTTATTATTTTATACTTCCCTTCTACGTGATGACTTTACCGAAAGAACCAAGAAGAAGAATCCCTGCAGTCACGAAAGCTTTAAATCGAAAGAGACATTGCTTGTTGATTTTGTTATTGATACTCTCCACAATGACGTGATTGATTATTTTCTGAAATGC